CTCATATTTCAGTAGGGTTGCCTGCATGAGCATGGGTGTGCAGCATGGTTTCTCAGCTACCTCTGAGAAACATGACTCTTTTTATACTGGCAACTGTTAAATGCCCATAGTTTCTCAGGAAGGGGTCGTCTTAGCCTCTTCCACAGCTATGGTGGGCCCAGTCTTGTATGTGTCTTTCACAGGTAGACATTGCTGCTGTGAGTTTGAGCTCTCATGTTCTTTTTTCTCTCTCATGTTCACTGACTTGAGGTGTGGTGTAGATGTCCTATTAAAGAGCACTGACCAGTTTCGAGTCTCTGCAGAGATCATCACCACTGTAAAGAGGAGCTTCTCTGAAGCTCCTGTGGCCTTCCTGATCACATCTTATAAGGAAGTATCTCCTACAAAACACTGGGATTTTTGTTTAATAACTTATAGAGCTGCTATGCCCCTGGAGGTTAACTCTCTTCAAGCTCTATTTTAAAAGTGTATTTTTATTGGACTTACACAGCAGCAGGTTTCCACGTGACTTTTTCATCCTTAGTTTTCATTAACCCTCTCCCATTCATGCATCTGCCTCATCATCCACCACACGCTCACTCAAACCTTTGCATTCCCAGTATTAACTCCATCTACTTTCATAGCACCTCGGTCCTGCTCTCCTTCCTCCTTTAAGGCATTCCCTCCCTTCCCCACCAATGTCCCCTTTCTAGTTTCCTGAACTCTACAGATACTCTAAATACACAAATCTAAAAGTTCCCAGATGGGATCTTCGTAGAGATAGAACATTTGGTGTTTATCTTCCCGGGCCTAGGTCACCTCAGTAGTTTTCCCACTCCATTAATTCACCCACAAATCTCACAATTGCATTTCCTTTACAGTTCCGTAGTGTCCACGCACCTCATTCTCATTACCCATTTTCAGTTGATGGACATCTATTCCAGTCCCATTTCTCACTACTCTGCATAGAGCAGCAATGAACATGGGCGAGTAAAAACTTCTGTAATGGAGCCCTCCAGGTATGTGCCCAGCAGTGATGTACTTGAGTCACGTGGCGCTTCTAGTTTTAGTACCTTGAGAAACCTCCATACTCATTTCTATAGTGGTTACATCACTTTACACTCACACTACCAAAAATAAATATTTCTCTTTCCCCATATCCTTGTCTTTGTTGTAATTTGTTTTCTTGATTGCGACTACTCTAATTGAGACAATTCTAAATCCCAAACTAGTTCTAATTTGCATTTCCCTGGTGATTAATGATGCACTCTTGGAATCTGATAATTTTGTACAGGAGTACACTGTCTTGTAGCCTTTCCATTCTTACCTGTTCCTGAGTCCTTCTGTTGAACATCTTTTAATATTTCTGTTGGTCATTTGTATATTTTCTTTGGAACAATGTCAGTTCAATACCCCCCATTTTTAATTGTGTTATTTCTTTTACTTTTGTTAGTTTGTAGGTATCCTTTATTTATTTTGAATATTAGTCCCTTTCCAGAGATATGGCTTGCAAATGTCTTCTCCAGTATCACTGGCTGCTTTTATACTTGCTGATTTTTTTCTTTGTTGTGAAAAAACTTTTTGGTTTGATGCATTCCTTTGTCTATTTTTATTTTGTTGCTTGTTCTTTTGGCATCATGTCCCAGAATGCCTTGCTAACTCCAATGCAATGAAGCCCTCACCTTGGGTTTTCTTTTAAGAGTTTACAGATTTGCACTGTTCATTTAGGTCTTTGAAGCACCTTGAGTTGGCTTCTGCATGGAGTGTGAGGGACGGGACGAGAGTCATTCTTTTCCCACAGCCTTTATTCCCAGCATATTTGTTCAAGCCTCTGTCCTTTTCCCATCATGTGACCTTTAGTCAGAGACCGTTTGACTGTATGTATGAGTTTACTTAGGCACTCCAGGGAAAAGGAGTCTCTCCACTTGTGTGCTCTTTGATTTCCTTAGCCAATGTCTTACAGTTAAGAATAAGTTCACAGGTAAGCTTATTCTTAGGTATTTTGTTCTTTTTGATGCTACTGGAAAGAGTCATTCTCTTACCTGCCTTTCAGACTGATTTTGTTGTTGTTACTGCTATTGTTGGTGCAAAGAAATGGTGTTGATTTTGTATCCTGCAACCTTGCTGAATTTGATAAAGACCCATTGATGTTCAAAGGCCTGAGAACTAGGGGAGTTAGAAGACTCTCTCTACCCGAGCAGACAGGCAGGAAGAGAACTAAGAGGAACTCCTGTTTGCTTTGACTTTCATTCTGTTTAGGCTGTCAAATGTTTAGATGATCCCTACCTGTGCTGGAGGGCAAGCTAGCTTACTGAGCTCACAGATGCTGTAGCCAACTGTTAGTGGAAACACATTGAAGATGTACCCAGAAATGATGTTTTAATCTGGGCATCCCTAAGCCTTGCCAGGCAGAGACACAGAATCTAGTAGCATAACATTTAAGCACATAACATTTTAAAAGAGATTAAAATATAAATTAACCTCATGAAATTTGAGATGATCCTTTTAATTGGTGAAGAATGAATGGCGAGGGTTCCTAGGCTAGGGCCTCCCGGCCTTGCAACAGTGTTGGTTGTCTTGGTTCCTGTGCTATTGGTTCAGATGGCCATCATTTCACTGGTGTTTTCTTCTGTTTCGTCTGGCTGTGAAGGCTGTAAAGAATGCTTGCCCTGTTCAGCATGGGCCTTCCCAATCATTAACTCTTGTTTGCCCATACAGAATTTCATCATCCAACAACTGAATAAGTCGATTGCTTACTTCCTGGGGCTTTCTGATCCACAAGGTAACGGCCAATGGCAATGGATCGATAATACTCCTTGTAGTCAAAACATCAGGTGAGTGCAGTCCTAGCTTAATGAACTATTGGAATTATTTACACTGAAAACTGAGGAAAATTTTGTTAGCTGATAATTATAACAGATTAAGTTCACTAAATAATCCAAAGTTTCATGAAACTTCTCTTTTAGGAACTCACTTTACATATGAAATATTGAATACTAACTTCTTCAATATCAACAGATCAATAAAATGAGAAACTGCATTTAATTCAATGTCCATATTACTTTAAAGATGGTATCCTCAGCCATTATATTTTTTTCTGCCTTTAAGTACAGAGACTTAAATTAACTTAATGATCTTTAACAAATAAAATTTAAAATAACTGAATTAGAATTATGGCAAACATATAAGAATAATTACACAATAATACTTTTGATACATTACCTTATTTTATTCTCATGTAATCTTGTGAGTTACTTTGAAGCCCTTACTAAATTTATTTCTATTTTCTATGATTTTCATTTTTATATATGAATTATTTAAAATCAAAAGACATTAAATTTCTCGGTCAGGGTCAGTGGTAAGGAGGCTGCTGGTTGTTTCCGGACTGCTCAGACTCCCAAAATAACTGACTAATAGAAACTGTATTAATTAAATCACTGCTTGGCCAATTACTTAAGCGTATCGCTAGCTAGCTCTTACATCTAGAATTACATCTAGAATTAACCCATCTCCATTACTTTATATTTTAACATGAGGTCGTGGCCTACCAGCAAGGTTTCAGCACATCTGTCTCCAGCAACAGCTCCATGGCTTCTCTCTGACTCTGTCGCCTTTCTCCCAGCATTCAGTTTAGTTTTCTCTGTCTAGCTCTACTCTGCCCTATCAGGCCAAGCCAGTTTCTTTATTAATTAACCAATCATATTTACAGCGTACAGAGGGGAATCCCACATCAAGGGTCAAAGTAAATTAGAAGTTAAAGAAGTATTTTATTTATTTTCTTTTTTGTCTTTTATTAAACATAGATTTTTTTTCTCATACAGTATAATTTGAATAGAGTTTCCCATCCCTCTACTCCTTCACATTCCTCTACACCTCCTCTCCCATCTGTATCCACTAAAAAAGAACAAGTTTCTAGGACACATTAGAACACAACAAAGTAAGATATTATAAAATTAAACCATTGATCAAAGTTGGACAATTCAAGCCAACAGAAAAATAGGAGCCTCAAGAGAAGACACAAGAATCAGAGACCTACTCTTATACACATTCATAAACAAATCCCATACAAGTACTAAAATGAAATCCATTGTACATATGGAGAGGACTTAGTGCAGCCCCTGCAGGCCCTGTGCGTGCTGCTTCAGAACTCCATGACTTCATATGCATTTTGATCATGTTGATTTAGAGGCCTTTGTTCTCCTGGTGTCCTCCAACCCCTCTGTCTCCCACATTGGGTTCCCTGAGCTCAGAGTGGAGGAATCTGATGGAGACATTTAGAGCTGTGTGGTTCAAGGTCTCCCTCTGGGTAATGTCTTGCAGTGGGTTTGTGTGTTTGCTCCCATCTGAAGTATCTCTGATGATGGCTGAATAAAGCCCTGATCTACGAGTACAACAGAATATTGCTAGTAGTCATTTTATTGTTACATATATTTTTTAAGAGCACTAGTATTTGGTTTTACCTTAGTTACAAAATAATTTTAATTCCAAAAGTAAGGCCCATTCCCTGCCTCTATCCGCACTATAGTCTTCAAAGGAGGCAGTTAACTCACATTCAGAGTCAGGGAACTGATGTAAAAAGGCAGCCTCTATGTATGCCAAAAAGAAAAGTACTTTTGCTAAGTTATATCATGATGAGGGATTTGTGAAGAAGGGAAAGTAAATATTGGGTTGCAGGTCAAAGTATAGCACATCCAAAAAAAAAAAATGTAAAGCTACCTGCTTTGGGCCTTTTAGAAATGGGTTGTGTGAGAAAGAGGAGAAAATGCTGGGGTCTTCTCTCACCCACAGTCTGAACCTCGAACTTCACTGTTCAGGCAAATGCTAGGCACTCATGGAGAAGTTACTTCTGTTTGGTTTCCTGCAGGTTCTGGCACCTAAATGAGCCCAACCTTCCTGACGAGAGATGTGCTTTGGTAGTTCACTGGGATCCTACTGGATGGGGCTGGAACAACGTTTTCTGCAAGCATAAATATAACTCAATATGTGAAATGAAGAAGACTTACCTCTGAGCGGCATTTTGTTCATTTATACCTTTAGAGTCCCTGGGCACGAACACATGACTTTTTTTTCTTTTTCTAGATGGTTCTTTTCACTGAAGGCAGATGGGTCCTTCCTCTCTGTGATGGTTAGGATTTTGCCAACTGGACACAAACTAGAATCACCTAGGAAGAGGGACTCCCAGCTAAGGAATTGCCCCATCAGGCTGACTTGTCAGCACGTCTGTGGGAGCATTTTCTTGATTGATGATTGTTGTAAGAGGGTCCAGTGGGTCCTGGGTGGGTGGTCATGGGTGGTGTAAGAAAGTAAGCTGAGAAAGGCATGGCTAGCAAGCCAGTGGGTATCGCCCCTTTATCTCTGTCCCAGGTTGCTGCCCCAGGTTCCTGTATTGGGTTCCTGCCCCAGGTTCTTGCTCTGGCTTCTTTCTATGATGAACTGTTGTTACTTGAAAGTATAAAATGAAATAAATCATTTCTTCCAAGTTGTTTCTGGTCAGTGTTTTGTCCCCCACAGTGACAGAGAAGCAAAGTAGGGCACTGCCTTTGTTCTCATCTTTCATTTATGACTCATGGTTTTTCTCTTTTCTTCATACATTTTTCTTTAAAATTTCATTTATTTATTTTTTTTAGGAAAACAATCTTTTCTCATTTTACATACCAATCCCAGTTCCCCCTCCCTGTTTTTCTCCTACTCTCTCCACCTCCCCCCTCATCTACTCCTCAGAGAGGGTAGGGCTTCCTATGGGGAGTCAAGAAAGTCTAGCGCATGACTTTGAGGCAGGATCAAGCCCCTCTGATGTAGTAGGGTCTTCTGTCTATATGTTATTTTCATTGGTCAAATAAAGAAACTGCCTTGGGCCTTTGATAGGCCAGCAGCTTAGATCGGCGGAGTAGACTGAAGAGAATGCTGGGAGAAAGAAAGCAGAGTCAGGCAAACGCCATGAAGCTCCGGCATGAGATGGATGTGGGTTAGAATCTTCCAGGTAAGCCACAACCCCATGGTGATACACAGATTACTAGATACGGGTTAAAGCAAGATGTGAGAGTTAGCCAAGAAGAGGCTAGAAATAATGAGCCAGGCAGTGTTTAAATGAATACAGTTTCCGTGTAATTATTTCGGGTGTAAACTAGCCTGGGAACTGGGCAGCAGAAAGCGGCCCACCACTCCTTTTGTTACACCCCTCCCCACAGTATCTTCATACTTCTACAAACATTCCTCTTGCCAGACTGTACTCTTTGGGTTATGAGAAGATTTATAACACACTGTTGTTTGAAAACTACTTCATTCTCAAAATGCCGTAGAAAAATTCCCTGGTGAAGGTTGTGGCTCTGGCTAGAACCACAACCATCTGGGGATCTGACAAGAGCTCAAATCTGCTTTCTTGGTAATTTGGTCTTGTGGCTGACTCCTCGGTACTGATTATTGCCAGTCAGCCCTTCACATATGGAGATCTCTGCAAGGTGACTTGTGTGTGCTCAGAGTTGCCTTCCCCTTGAAAAAGTGATCCAAGAATCAAAATCTCCAGTGTTTCATGGGGCAGCATCTTCTGCTTCACACAACTGAAGGAGACAATATCCAAGGTGTGAATAATGGGAAGTGAGAGTCTGTTGGGGACCCTCATGGGGCCTGGTTATCCCACCACCCCCTTTAAGAAACAAAATGGATTTAACAAGAAGGAACTGAATTAAACGTTCTTTGCTACAACTATGAACTTCGGTTTATCAAAATACAAGGAGAAAATGTCTCAAACACTTGTCAGTGACACAATATTAGAACAAAGGATGCATAAACAACTATTACAATAAATTAGAAAAAGACAGAATGAATAAAATATTTGAACAAACATGCCATAGAGGGATAAAAGCAAACATTCAGTGTCAGTGGCCATGTCAGAGGAGCAGCTGATGGCAATTACTACAGGGGACCAGCTTACCAGGAAGTGAAGTTCTGATGGGTGAATCTCAGATAGGCAAGGCCCCGAGATCCTTGGCCCCAGAATGTTCCTTACCACTGCTGTGTCTTCGCATGTTTGCTGCCGCGGTTCTTCTCAGGTATCTGGCAGGATGATGGCCACTGGGAGATTTCCACTGTCCTGAATGCAGTATGATCATATCTGGGAACTATCCCACTTACTGGACATTTTTACCTTGGCTTATTATGAAGATGATTTCCACTTAAGCTGTACTGTTTAATTGAAACAATGATTTTTATACAATACTAGTGTTAGCTTAAGTAGGATTTTGATGATTGATAGTTTTTAATAAATATAGTAAGAAATTATGATAGAGGTTAGTTTAGTGGAAAAATTGACATAGGTAAAGATAGGATTAAATGTTGGCACTGTCTCTGATAAATCAGAGGCTGCAGAGGATAAGAAATAAGACAAGGAAGTGCCACACAGTTAGAACACTTGAGTTTCTATTGAGGAGCTGTAGAGACAGTGGCTTAGGTTGATGATTAAGAAAAGCAATTGAATTCCAGTAGCCCACCTTGCTTAAATTCTTCTAATCTTAATGCTGAGAGATGTGTTCACAGGTTTCAGAGTGCATCACAGCTGAAAGCTTTGAAAATAACTTAAGGGTAGACTAAGATGTATTTGTCAAATAGCTTTGAGGTGAAAAATCCAAGAAAACAACTAAAGTTCACCAGGACACATTCATTAAGGTTAGGGATCAAAAACAAAGCAGCCCAATTATTATTAGCTGATGTATATTTCTTTCTAGGATTGGTGATCAAAGCTGATGATTAATTCTTTGTATCCATTTCTGCCCTCAATTTCCTGATATAAAAAAACTGTTGATGAGTGGTTATGCACCCTAAATATTAAAAGTAGAACTGAGTGGTTGTTTTTCATATACAAAAGTTTAGGTTTGTGATTCTTCTAAGATTCCTTCTAAGATTACCTTTTAAGATAAATAATAAAGTGATCGGTGCTTTCTTTGTAACCACAATATGCAGCCTGATAATAAAAGAACTGGCTGAGAAAAATATCCTGCTTGTAGTAGGAAGGTTGTTGGTTCATTCCCAGATGATCAGCCCCAAAATAATCACACAGAAACTATATTATTTGCAATACTGTTTTGCCAATAGCTCAAGCATATTGCTAGCTAGCTCTTACATCTAAAATTAACCCATTTTCATTATTTTATATTTTACCACAAGGTTCATGGCCTACCGACAAGGTTCCAGCTGGCAGCTCGCATCTTTTCCCTCTGGCAGCTACATGGTGTCTCAAGACTCCACCTTCTTTCTTCCAGCATTCAGTTTAGTTTACCCCACCTAGCTCTACTTTGTCCTATCACAGACCAAGGCAGCTTCTTTATTCGATAACCAATAAAAGCAACACATACACAGAAGGGAATTCCACATCACCTACTTGCTCACACTCTGTTAATTTATAACTAGCTACTTAGATGTGAATACATGTGGGTTCTTGGGATGACTTTGTTTAATCATATAAAGGAAATGGAAAACATGTATTTTAACTTGTATTCATTATAATCATTCACTTGAAAAACAGAATGTAACCACATTGTAATTTTTATATTGTTTAAAAGATTCTACTGGGGTATATAAGCTGCAAGGGAGAAAAATAAAGTTATTAGAAGGAAATTGTGAATGAGAAAAGAAAAGCACCAGAAAAGATGTAGAGGAAAAATAAAGAAAAAGTTAGAAGGAAACGATCAAGAGAGTGTGTGAATCTTTTCCATACTCCCTCAGATAAAAATGTTTTAGTTTGCTGACTCAGTGGATCTTCACAGAGTCTTGTGATACTGGAGGCTGGTCTTAATGGCAATAGTAATTTAGCAAATATTATTTTGTAGAAATGTTCAGTTTCACTTGTAATCTGGGTGCTGCACATCAAGATTAGAATACACCATACATATTGTCTATGCTTCTTTGTTGGTGTGAATATGTACATGTAATGTTCATGTGTGTGTACATGCATATATAGAGGCCAGATGTAGATGTTGGGTGTTTCTTTAATTTCTTTCCACCTTGTCTTTTGAGACAAGGTAAGGCTTGAGCTCACTGATTTGACTAGTCTGGCTGAACAGATTTATATTGAGGTCTTTAATTTGTTTGGACTTAAGTTTTGTGCATGAGGATAGATATGGGTCTATTTTCATTCCTTTTTTTTCATTTTAAATTCTTTTTTTTCTTTTTTTATTAAATTATAAAAGTTTCCATTTCAGCCCCTCCTCCCAACACCCTCCCACTCCCCCCACTCCCTCTCCTCCTCCCTCTCCATCCCCTAGAGCAGTCAGGGTTTCCTGCCCTGTGGGAAGTTCAAGTTCCTCCCCCCTCCCTCCAGGTCCGGGGAAGATGAGAGTCCAAACAGACTGGAGCGCCAAAATCCAGTAAATGCAGAGGAAGCAAGTCCCAGAGTCATTGTCAATGGCTTTTCAAAAAGGCTCCGGGCCAGCCACATTCAGAGAATCTGATGGGATCACGTCCTCGTTCAGTCTTAGTCCAACAGGCCTTGGTGAACTCTCATTATATCAGTCCCCTTGTATCAGTGGGTGCTCGCATCCCTCGCAGTCCTGATTACTTTTTTTTATTTTCTTCATCCTTCTGTTCCTCATTTGGACTGTGGAGTGCTCAGTTCGGTGTTCCAATATGGGTCTCCATCTGTATCGCCATCCAACGTCGGATGAAGGTTTCCTGTGCCCTTGCCTTCTTTGCTCACGATCTCTTTCCTTCTGCCTCTCATTTGGACCTAGGGAGCTAGGTCCAGTGTTCCAACGTGGTTCTCCGCCTCCATCTCCATCCATCTCCAGATGAGGGTTCTATGGTGACATGCAAAATATTCATCAGTATGGTTGTGGGCCAAGGCCGGTTCAGGCACCCTCTCCTCTGTCCAGAGAACCATCTGGGGATCTCTCCTTGGACCGGGGATCCCCTTTATAATCAAGTCTCTTGAAAACCCTAAAATGATTCCCTTAGTTGAGGTATATACTTGCCTGATCCCATATCCATCCTTCCTCCCTCCCCCCCATCCCAGTCCCCCGATCTTTCCCCAATCCTCCCCTACTCCCTTCTCTCTAACCCTCTCCCTTTCCGACAACCCTCCCACCCCCCCATGCACCCTAGGTTACCTGGGACTCTTGTCTATTTCCTACCTCCTGGCGGGTAGCTATATAATCTTCATCAGGTTCATCTTCTCATTTAGCTTCTCTAGGATCACGAATAATAGGCTCAAAGACCTTTAATTATGGTTAGAATCCACTTATGAGTGAATACATACCGTGTTCCTCTTTTTGGGTCTGGCTTACCTCACTCAGTAAAGCGTTTTCTATTTCCATCCATTTGCATGCAAAATTCAAGATGTCATTGTTTTTTACCGCTGAGTAAAACTCTAATGTGTATATGTTTCACACCTTTTTAAACCATTCTTCTATTGAGGGGCACCTAGGCTGTTTCCAGGTTCTGGCTATTATAAATAGTGCTGCTATGAACATAGTAGAACAAATGCTTTTG